CCCTTAAAAAGGCTAGGAATTTCTTTTTCAGGGAGTTTGGCTCTTCAGATGCGAGTCTGCCAACGCTCCCGGCCAAATAAAAACCTCTTCCGTCTTTAATCTGGTATCTGAGGAGTTTTGTCTGTGGCTCGTCCTGCTACAAAATGACAGGCCTTAGAGAAGGAGCGGGGAGACGGTGAGCTGTGGAGGGGTGGCCAACCCCTCCTTCACCTTTCCAGACATGCGTGTTCCGGACAGCCCTGTGCATTCTGGTTGCTGAGAGACTTTAGGGCGAGTTGGAGAAGTCTAGCCCTCCAGGAGCGAGGTCTACACTGTCAGGAAGGCAGAGCAAGGCTGGCCACAAGTGGCTCACGCCTGTAATCCCAGCACTTTGGGAGGCCGAGGCAAGGGGATCACCTGAGGTCAGGAGTTTGAGACCAGCCTGGCCAACATGGTGAAACCCCGTCTCTAATAAAAATACAAAAATTAGCTAGGCATGGTGGCGAACACCTGTAATCCCAGCAACTCGGGAGGCTGAGGCGGGAGAACTGCTTGAACCCGGGAGGTGGAGGTTGCAGTGAGCCAAGATTGCACCACTGTACTCCAGCCTGGGTGACAGAGTGAGACTCTGTCTCAAAAAAAAAAAAAAAAGGAAGGCAGAGCGAGTCCACCTGCCAGGGCATAGGCAGGGTCCCGGGCCTGGAAGGCCCACAGCCACCCCCACTCAAACAGTCGTAGGCCCCCTATCAGCCCCGGTTCCAAGGAGATGGTCCTTGTCACTGGATAGCTGCAAACTTGGGCAATTGAGAGGTGGACCCATAGGCTCAGCTGGGCCTGGTCTCCGCAGGAGACCCGAGAGGCCCGTCCAGGCCTCAGGAGGAGAACCATCCCCAAGCTCCCGCCCAGGTCAGGGTGGCAGTCATGCCTCTGGAAGGTGGCACAAGACCAGGCAGCAGGCACAGTCAGCAAAACTGGCCACACCCACGGAGTTAGGGAGCAGAGGAGGGCACGGCCTCCCCAGAGCACAGCTGTGCCCGTCCAGGCCCAGAGGGAGGCGGTGGGTGGTGTGTGCCACCTGCGTGTGGCTCACCTGCTGCAGCTCCCCGGGCACTCCCGGCCTTACTGATTAAGCAGAGAGAAGCCCAAGGTGGGGGCGGCCTCTTGGGCCTTTCAGAGAAACCTCACGCCGTTTCTGGAGAAGTGCGCCCCTGACCCAAGGTCCTCCCTTGCCAATGACACTGCTGGGGTCCACATCACTGTGGGGAGGCGTGGGAAAGAAAAAGAAACCAGTGTACGGGTGGCAGGGACGAGCCACACCCGAAGGCGCTCCCCTCGCAGGCCCCGCTGCACTCCTGGACCGCATCCTCCCGTGGCTGAGGAAGGAGGCGCATCCAGGCTCCCCCATCTGCGTCCCAGCCTCAGCTCTGCTACGGAGAGGCCACCAGGCTGGGGCAGGCAGCACGGTGGCCCACACCCCTAGCTCCCCCAGCGTCCCCGCCCCTGGCAGCCCCATTGCCAGCCAGGGTCTGGCGTCTCTGAGCCAGGCGGCCCAGCTTCCTGGGCCATGCCATTTGCACCAAGACCCTGAGAAGTCAGCCCAGGCTCCACGCAGTGGTTTGGCACATCCCAGGAGACGTCCTCACTGCAGTGCAGCCCTCCCCATGGCTCCTGCTCCCAGGGCTGCGCTGGGCAGGGGTGGGAGGCAACACCAGCTGCCCACTCCAGGAAGGCCTGGGGGCTCATGGGAGGCATCCGGGGGTTGCAGCTGCTCTGGGCTGCGGCCTTGGGGGAGCAGCTCCCCTGGACCACACCTGGAGACTCTACCATTAGCAAAAATGACAGGGAAAAGGCCTCTGTAGCACTCTCCTGTGACTGTGGGCAGAAAAGGAGGCCTCGCTCCCGCTCAAGGAACCTTCTAGAATGCACCTGCTGCTGCTTGCAGTTCTCTTCTTAGTGGGGCCTGCAGCTCCTGGTCCAGGTGACAGCGCTTCCCATAAGATGGGAGAGAATCATCGCCCACCAAACCCGCAGCTCTGGGGCCAGCAGGCAAAAGGCGAAAGCCCTGCTCATATTCCAAACCAGTGGCCTTTGAACACCATGCGCCTGCTGTTCAAAACTGTGCCTTGGGATATGAGAACAGAGCTCGCAGGGACTAACATGCAAGTCAGGAAACTGCTTCTGAGGGTCCCGACCCTCCGTGGGCTGCCGCTCCCCGCCGCACCTCGACGCCACGCAACCCTCCATGGGCTGCCGCTCCCCGCCGCACCCGGACGCCACGCAACCCTCTGTGGGCTGTCGTGCCCCGCCACACCCGGACGCCACACAACCCTCCGACGCCACGCAACCCTCCGTGGGCTGCCGCTCCCCACCACACCTCCACGCCACACAACCCTCTGTGGGCTACCGCTCCCCTCCGCACCTCGACGCCACACAACCCTCCGTGGGCTGCCGCTCCCCGCCGCACCTCGACGCCACACAACTGAGCTGCTCTTTAATAACCCAAGTTCTGCAACACTCCTTATTCTGATTTTGTATTCCCATTCCATTCTCCCACAGACTTAGTCCTAATGTATTTTATGCTTGGAATCCTTTGACAGCTCCCATACACTTCTGTGCAACAGAAATGTGTACAAAACTTGATCACAAGGCTCTAGGTGTTAAAAAACAATGATCCCGACTGAGAAATCATTACAATTAGTATTGGTATGCAAGTAGTCAAAATAACATAAGCATATTACAAAATAACATCAGCATGGTAATAACTAAATATAAAAAGTGAAATTTAACCCAAGTGAGATGGATCAGGCTGTAAACTGCCTGATTCTGTCGCTGTTCAGGGCGCCACTTGTAACCGCCCTTGATCCCTGGTGGACTGAACAAAGGGGGCGAACGTAGGCATAAAAGACAAGAGACAAGAGAGTATATTTGGAAAAAGGGGTCGGGGGCACCTTGCCTCTAGTGGACAAGGGCCCTGAGCTTTACACAGCCCTCCGTATTGATTGGTAAAAGAGACAGCGAGAAAGGGAGGGATGATTGTCAGGCAATTGGCAGTCTGCCCGTTTGGTTCACAGCAGGCTCAAACAATAGGTGCTAGATTTCCCAGTAGATAACTTCAAGGAGTCCGGAGCCAGGGAGTGACCACCTTCAGCAAATCTGGCAGCAGATGCAGTCATGAGTTTCACTTACATACTACATTCATGATAAACGGTTTGCTGTTTGATCATATAGCCTCCAGTGGAATGCTGAGTTGGTCACGATCCCTTTGGCCTTTCTGACTCTCAACATCAGGCTATTTGATTTTTTTTTCAATCAGTTCATCCATCCATGGGACGACATAGATTCAGCATCAGCACTGTTCTTATTTTTTGTATTTATAGATCAAAACACCAAGGAAACCCCGTGCCCATCATCAAGCAGGTGGCACCAGGAGTTCTGCCACTTGACTCTGAGCTCTTCTGAAGACTTCACCAGTCAGAGCTTGACAGGTTCTCCTTCACATGTGGCCCAAAGCCAGAAGAGAAGCCTCCCGGCCTGCAGGCAGCTTCGTGGGTGGCACGTGGCCTCCTCAACTTTGATGGCGGCACTCAGGGCTGTCCTCTGGCAGAGCCCTCACCAGGCAGCAGCTGATGAGAAGACCCAGATGATGACGGAAGCTCTGGAGACGTTCCTAAGGTCCTGTGACTGTGTTTGGAAGGTCTTTGCATCTGTGCAGCTCAGCATGAGGGGCAGATCAGCAGAGCCGCACTCTGGCAGCCTGGGGTAGTCAACTGATTGTTGCTGTCCTCAGGCTCATGCTCCAGTCTCACCGTGCATGGCTCCCAGCCCCTCCCTTGGCCCTGGGGGGACCCTCCGGTGAGCATCATCACCTACTCTCCAGCACGCCCTCTGTCCCCTGCGCTTTGCTTTCCACATCGAGGGCCATTTGCCTTCTTAAGGTGAGTTTGTTTGTGGCAAATGTTTTCAGTTTTTGTCTGTCTTTGTTTCACTCTTATCCTTGAAAGACAGTTTAATCCCAGCACTTTAAAGCTACTTCTGGTTTCCACAGTTACTAGTAAGAAGTGAGCTGTCCATGGAATCGCCTTTCCTTTGTGAGAAATCTGTTTTCCTCCTGGATTCTTTCATGGTTTTCTCATCTGCTTTGAGTGCCACAGTTTGCCCAGATGTGTCAGGCACAGATATCTTTGTATCCCGCTAGGGACTTGTTGTATTTCTTCAGTCTTTAGACTGGTAAGTTAAACCCATTCTGGAAAATTCTCAACCATCCACTCTTTGAATATTTTCTTTTTTCATTCTCTTCTGAAACTCAGTTGAATGTCAGATCTTCTCATCCCTCCCTCTCCTTTTCTTATTTTTTGCAGAGATGGGCTCTCACTATGTTGCTCAGACTGGCCTTGAACTGCTTGGCTCAAACAATCCACCCACACTGGCCTCCCAAAGGGCTTGGGTTACAGGCCTGAGCACTGCAGCCAGCCTGTCTTCTTTGTCTTGTTTCCTAATCTCATGCCACCACAATTATTTCTCCAGATCTCTCTGCATCTAACAAATTCCCTAATGTATTGTTTAACTCCTCCATTAAGTTTTTAAAAACTGCAGTATAGGCTGGGCGTGGTGGCTCACGCCTGTAATCCCAGCACTTTGGGAGGCCAAGGCAGGAGGATCACAAGGTCAGGAGATCGAGACCACCCTGGCTAGCACGGTGAAACCCCGTCTCTACTAAAAATACAAAAAAAATTTAGCTGGGCATGGTGGTGGGCACCTGTAGTCCCAGCTACTTGGGAGGCTGAGGCAGGAGAATGACGTGAACCTGAGAGGCGGAGCTTGCAGTGAGCTGAGATCGTGCCACTGCACTCCAGCCTGGGCAACAGGGCAAGACTCTGTCTCAAAACAAAAACACAAAAACACTGCAGTATAATTTATATACAGTCCAAGTCGCTGTTTCTGATGTATACTTCAGTTTTGATCAATGCACACAGCCATGTAACAACCATCAGCATCAACATACAGAATCTTTCCACAGCCCCCCAGAATTCCCTCTTGCCCCTTTGAAAGTCAGTCCTTCTACTGCCCCAGGCCCAGGTGACCACAGATCTCTTCTCTGTTGCTATAGTGTTGCCTTTTCCAGAATGTCATATAAAAACAAAAACTGCAGCCTTCTAAGTGTGGCTTCTTTCACTCTGCACAAGACATTTCAGGCTTATCCCTGCTGCCCCCAGCATCAGTGGTCCAGCCCTCTCTCCTGCTGAGTGCTGTTTTATGGAATCAGTGGGCCACCATTTGTTTACCCATTGGCTAGTTGAAGAGTGTCTGGGTTGCTTCCAGTTTTAGGTAAATGAATAAAGCTGCTATGAACACTTGTGTTTTTCATTGTGGTTACAGTATTTGGTTATCACTTGGGACATATGTCTTCATTTCTCTGGTGTAAAGAATGAGGGGTGGGATTGCTGGGTCATACAGTAAATGATTGTTTTATTTTATAAGAAACTGCCAAACTGATTCCAGAGGGCTCCACTATCTTACAGTCCCACCAACAAGGTATGAGAATTTCTGTTGTTCTACACCCTCACTAGCACTTAGTTTTGGTCTTGTCTTTTTTTTTTTTATTTAAGGCATTCTCACGGGTGTGCAGTAGTTTCTCATTGTGATTTTGATTTGCATTTCCCAGAGGACAGTGCTTATTTGCCACCTAGAGAGCTTCTTTGGTGGAGTGTCTGCTCAAATCTGTTGCCCACTTTACAAAATAAGTTGTTTTTGTATTAGTAAGCTTTGACAGTTCTCTGTATGTTCTGTTTACATGTCCTTAATCAGCTACATGACTGGCAAAAGTTTTCTCCCAGTAACTTGTCTTTTTATTCTCTAAACAATGGTTTTCACATAGCAAAAAGGTTTAATTTTATTAAAGTATGACTTGCCAATTTTTTCCTTTTATAGGCTCTATTTTTGGTGTCATATCTAAGAAATGTTTACTTAATCTATAGTCACAAAATTTTTCCTATGTTTCATAGTTTGAATTTTATGTTTGGGTCTATGATCCATTGAGTTAATTTTCTATGGGGTGTGAGGTAGGGATCAAGATTACTTCCATTAAGTTTTGAATTTCAGTTATTACATTTTTCATTTTTAGATGTTCTATTTGGTTCATTTAGTGTCTGCTTAGCCTCTGATAATCTCTTGCTTCTTATTCATGCTTTTTAGCTTCTCCTTGTTTCTTCAAACACATTAAACATATTTGCATTTCCTATTCTAACATCTGAGTCTTTGTAGGTGTGGTTCTTTTGGCCATCACTTCTGAGGCCCCTTCTCTTGCATGTGCTATGATTTTCCACTATGAACTTATAGTCTAGGGATCCTGCTGGCTGGAATTCTTTGAGGCCTAGGTTGGGGGTTCCTCCTGCAAGAATGTACATTCTAGCAGAGGCCTGGGGCACTATAGATCCAGATATGCTTGCAATTAAAACTCACAGTTTGCAGTTCTTTTGAACATGTAAATAATATGAACTTTGGCCCTACATCTGTGGTGGAGAGTGCTAGCCAGGGGCCATAAATTTATAGGAGGGACTTTTTAAAGATGTTCCATCCACAGCCATGGCCAAGTGAGATACTGTTCCTGCAGTGAAGCTTAGAGGAGTGGTTTGCCCACTTCATCATTTCCTGGTAGTGTTTGCTGTATCCTTTTGTGAGCCCAGCCCTATATGGGGGTCTCCAATTTGGTTCTGCACCTCCCTGGGCCCAAGGCTTCTCCAGACTGCTCCCAAAACTCACTTCAAAGTTCTAGGTCATCTGGGTCCATGGGGACCCAGGTCATAGAGTGTCTTTAGCACAGACCTACCTCCTTAGACTTCAGCCCTTGCCTGGTTTCTAGACTCACTATCCTGCAGACTCATTCATGGTTTTATATATTTTACCTGGCAATTTTTGAAAATCCGGCATTTTTAGATGTTTTGTTGAGATAGATTTTCAGGTTCTCTCATCTACCATATTACCAGAAATAGAAGTCCTTGTCAGAGTGATTTTTCATAGAAATCATTGTAAATATTTTTGAAAAATTATACTCTACAGCAAAGCAAGCTCTCCCCCAGAGAGCAAATATATGTAAAAATTACAGGGTCTGAGTTCCTTAACACTCGGCCCCTACCCACCTCCAGGAGCCTCCTCAGCTCTGCTCATCAGGCTGCCTCCAAAAGGAAGGGGCTGAGTCCAGCCCCACTCTGGCCTAAGGTGCCTGAACGACGAGTGTGAGATGCAGCTCCCACAAAGCCAAGTGGCCACTTACCTTCTGCTGTGCAGCAGCGGGCCTTGGGTGGCTGAGGGCTGCACAGCTTGTTGCTGCTGGTGGTGTTTCAGCTTTTGGAGCTGCTGCACATGCAGAGGCTGTGCAACCAGTCTGGCCCCCTGTGGTGACAGGAGAGAGACAGCACACAGGACACACGAAGCACATGTAGACAAGGAGCTTCATCTCACACTCATCATTGCCGCTGATTTGCTCAGAGGAGTAAACTGCATGGCAATGACAGTAAAGGAAATGCCTGCTGCCTTAAAAAGGAGAAATAATGCCCATGCTGCATCTCCCCTTAATAGCGGCAAGCAGCTCTCGCTGGGGGGTATTGCGGTCTCTGCTCCATTTGCTTAGAAGGGGGAGGTGCAAGGAATGAGGCTCTAATTAGGCATCTTAAAAAATTAACACGTGGCAAAACAACTCAGCAACTTCTAGAATGAGAAATTTAGAAAGGTTTGATGCAACTCACTCAAGTGAGTTGTTTCGAGTTGGGTGAGGTGAAGTTGACTGCCTACCTGCCGCTTTCTGCAGCTGTCCTATCACAACACTGATCCTGTTGTGTTGCTGGAGGCTCTGTGACCCTGGCTGACAGCACCGCAACTGCCAGGACAGACACCACAGGAGGCGTAGCCAGAGCAACCTGGGCCATCTGGGACATCAGCACTGACATCAGTCTTGGGCCTTGCAGGTGGGAGGTGGAGTCTAAATAACAAGAAACAAGAATCACACGTGCCCTGCCCTGTCACACCATGTTATCCTTCCTCAGGGACTGGAATCATCAACCCACCTCAGGTATTAAAAACCATGATGAGGCCGGGTGTGGCGGCTCAGGCCTGTAATCCCAGCACTTTGGGAGGCTGAGGTGGGTGGATCACCTGAGGTCAGGAGTTTGAGACCAGCCTGGCCAACATGGTGAAACCTGGTCTCTACTAAAAATATAAAATTAGCCAGGCATGGTGGTGCACGCCTGTAATCCCAGCTACTGCGGAGGCTGACACAGGAGAATCACTTGAACCCATGAGGGGAAAGTTGCAATGAGCTAAGATTGGGCCATTGAACTCCAGCCCAGGCAACAAGAGTGAAACTCCTTCTCAAAAAAAAAAAAAAAAAAAGGAATGGGGACTGAACGCTTACGAGTCAGGCTACCTGGAGGTTGGCCATGATGGTACCTGTCACCAGGGCTCTGGGCCCGGAGCCGTGAGCTGGGGGCTCTGCTGTGGTAGGGGGTGGCGACTGCACTTGCACTTGTGTGGTTGGCTGCGGGGCCCCAGGCAGGGTCTGCGGTGGTAGGGGTGGTGGGGGCAGCTGCAGTTTCTGCTCCTGGAGTCGAATCAAGTGCTCCTGAAGATACAGATAATATTCGTGTGTTTCCTTAGTTGGCAAGCTCACTTATGCAAATCCGGAAGTTTATGTCTTTCTTCATTCATGCTTTTAAAAAGACTGTCAAAAGATGTACATCTAATCAGACATAGATGCCACTACCAGGTATCTCTGGTATCACTGGCTTGCTTTCAGGAGCCACGTGGTTCTTTTTGTTTGTTTGTTTGTTTGAGACGGAGTCTCACTCTGTCGCCCAGGTTTGGAGTGCAGTGGCTCGATCTCTGCTCACTGCAAGCTCCGCCGCCTCCCGGGTTCACGCCATTCTCCTGCCTCAGCCTCCCTAGAAGCTGGGACTACAGGCGCCCGCCACCACGCCCAGCTAATTTTTTTGTATTTTTAGTAGAGACGGGGTTTCACCATGTTCGCCAGGATGGTCTCGATCTTCTGACCTCGTGATCTGCCCGCCTCAGCCTCCCAAAGTGCTGGGATTACAGGCGTGAGCCACCACACCCGGCCAAGCCGCCTGTTTCTAATGGCACATCCTGACTGGCCCTCGGACCCTACAAATGTGCTGCTGGCAGCTCCCTCCCACGCACAGGACACAACACACACTCTTACACATGACACACAAAGCTCATGCAGAGACGTGCCATCCTCAGAAACACCTGCACACAAGGCTGGCCCTGGGCTGGCCTCAGGGAACTTGGGATTTGAGGAGGTCACCACCATTCTCTGACGCACAGCCCCTCATCCTCTGGGCCTGTGCTGCCTTCTCCCTGTGTTCTGAGTTCTCATCACACAACCCCGAGCTTCCTGAATGCACTGCACTGCTCCCTGTCATGTGCATGTGTGCACTACTCCTGCTGCCATGAATTTCCCTCCCCCGTAACCATCTAGGAACTTCCTATTTGCTTTGAAGACTCAGCATGACCTCCATTCTCCCAGGGTCAGGCACTTCTTCCTCTGTGCCTGCAGCACCTTCCCTATGCTTTCTGATACCACCAGGACTGTGAGTTCCTAGGGTCATGTGCTGGTTTTCCACTTTGAGTAGGTGATTAAAAATGGATGGATGGATGGATAGATAAGAGGATGGGTGGATGGATGGGTAGATGGATGGACAGATGAGTACATGGATAGATGGATAGCTGGATGGGTGGATGAATGGATGAATGAATGGATGGGATGGCTGGCTGAGTGGGTGGGTGGATGGGTGGATATATGGATGGGTGGGTGGGTGGGTGAATGCATGAGTAGATAGATGGATAGGTGGATGGATAGATGGATAGACAAGCAGATGGGTAGATGAATGGATAGATGAATGGGTGGATGGGTGGGTGGATGGACAAGTTGGTAGGTAGATAGGTGGATGGGTGGGTGAGTGGATGAATGGAGGGACAGATGAGTAGGTGGACGGGTAGGTGGGTGAATGGATGGATGGATGGACAGACAGGTAGGTAGATGGATAGATGAGTGGGTGGGTGGGTGAGTGAATGGGTAGAAAAGCACTGAGACTATAGGTGTGAGCCACTGCACCCAGTATATGTATTTTAAATTTAGCCATTAAATTTGAAAGATAAAGGATATAAAGTGGATGTTTAAAATCTTTTTCTTTTTTCTTTTTTTTTTTTTTTTTTTTTTTTGAGACGGAGTCTTGCTCTGTAGCCCGGGCTGGACTGCAGTGGTCGGATCTCAGCTCACTGCAAGCTCCGCCTCCCGGGTTCACGCCATTCTCCTGCCTCAGCCTCCCGAGTAGCTGGGACTACAGGCGCCCGCCACTGCACCCGGCTAGTTTTTTGTATTTTTAGTAGAGACGGGGTTTCACCATGTTAGCCAGGATGGTCTTGATCTCCTGACCTCGTGATCCATCCGCCTCAGCCTCCCAAAGTGCTGGGATTACAGGCTTGAGCCACTGCGCCCGGCCAATATTTTTCTTAAATACAGCACAAACTCACATCTTAGGGGTGCACCAAATCACATTTCAGCTGGATGCCTGCATGTCAAAATCTCTGATTAGCCAAAGCCAATATAACCATCAACAGAATAAACTCTGTGACAAATGAATAAATCTGACATTTTATTTTTAAAATAGTATTTTAAATTTAGGGGTCAAGTTTTTTTGTATCTGTGAAAAATTCCCAAACTAGTACTTTTTCTTAAAAGACGTGTCAACAACAAAATTAAACGCTGTCCTTGAAGACGATTTTGCTCAATGCTGTGAATGCCAGTCCATCCCAACACAAAGATCAGAATCAGCCTCTAATCTACTCTTCCCACCATGCCTGATATTATTACTTACATGTTTGGAAACACATGTTGGTTCAAAAAAGATAAAATGTGCTTCCTAAAGTATTCTACCATGGAGTCTCTCTTTATGTGTGTAGCAACTATTAATCTATTTCTGTATTTTATTAGAAAGTTCTTAACAATTATTTGTGTGCACAAAATTAACAGCTTTACAATAATCATTCATTGTGCTACAGCCTTCTACCACTGCAACAATAGATACAGGTTCATATTTCAACTGACAGAACTTCTAAATATAAAGTCCCATGAGGGTTTTTTTTTTTAATCCCAAGTCACCTGAATACATCACAAAGAAAACACTCACTACGTCACTTTTATTTTCAAGCGGAGCGCCTGCTTCAAAGATGCTGGAGTCTTTACCAACAAAGGTAGAATTCATAACGTTTTCAAGACTTCAGTCTCATTATGCCCTGTCACAAAGCGCAGGAGCAGCACAATGAATTCTGACAGTTCACCTTGACAGTGGGCTTTAACATGACTACTATTTGAATAAGTACACAATATTAACTGAGTTGGTTACCTCTTTTTGAATATTTATTCAAATTTAATGTCTTTTTTGTTTCTCTTGAAATTCAATTTGCAGCTTAATTTCTACTATCTAAAAGAAAAAAATCATGAATTAAAATATAAAATCATTAGCTCCCGAGTGAAAACTTGAGGGCAAATTGTAGAGGAAAAGTGTGTTTACCTGCGCAGTACTAGACCAGGAATGCTGGATTTCTCTGGTAGTGGAGGTGCCGTCCGTCTCAGCCTGCTCGGCTCCGCCCTCCCGGTCTCGGCCTCTGCGCGTCCTGTCCTGCAGCTGCCGGGCCACGGCTCTGACCATCTGAAGACAATCACCGTGTTGTCTGCGAGGGTCTCCGTGCACAGAGTAACATGGAAACATCTTGTATTTTTACTAGATATACATATCTAATTCTGGAGAATTCCAAAGAAAGTCTATTATTTCCATTATAGTATCGATTCATGATACTGCTTCAATCAACAATTCTAATAATATTCAAAATTAAAAAGTAAAATGGATATTCCCCTAGAAAATATCCCTTTACTGTCAACCAAAGACACTTACGTTAATGGGCAATAAAGTCCGGATGAAACATGAACCACAGTTATCACAGTGCTTTCTATGCAAACATAATTCAAGATAATCCTTCTCAATTTAGACTGTGCCATGGCCAGACATGAAATGCCAGTTGGTATGAAATTGTCCACATGGCCGGGGGCGGTGGCTCATGCTTGTAATCCCATCATTTTGGAGGCCGAGGCAGGTGGATCACCTGAGATCAGAAGTTCGAGACCAGCCTGGCCAACATGGCAAAACCCCATCTCTACTAAAAGTACAAAAAATTAGCTGGGCATGGTGGCAGGTGCCTATAATCCTCACTACTCAGGAGGCTGAGGCAGGAGAGTCAATTTAACCTGGGAGGTGGAAGTTGTAGTGAGCTGAGATTGCGCCACTGAACTCCAGCTTGAGGGACAGAGTGAGACTCCGCCAAAAAAAAAAAAAAAAAAAAAAAAAAAAAGACTTAGAGTTAGTGATGAAAACTCAAACATTAAATTGGCCATATTAAATTTAGAAATCTTCTTTTACATAATATAATTACTTCTTCAATTCTCTTTCACGATGTGATTTCCACAAAGTACTATTCCAACCCACCTTCTTCACAGAGGCCACCTTCCACCTCCTTTCCTGGGCAAAGTCTGTGGCCACCCACTGCATCTCCTCCAGCAGATAGCCCCAGTGCGACTTGGGCTGTGGGGCCTCCTGCAGCTTCGGCAGATGCCTCTGGGACCACACACCTGCTTTCCTCAGCTCCGCAACGCACTGATGCACCTGGTTCTCCTGAAAGATAGGAGCAGTTCATCAGCTGTGAAGTCAGAGACTCCAGCCCCTTTGCCACAGGCTCAGATTAAGGACCTGAATGAGGGAACACGGTGCCCTGGTGGTCCCCAATGCAGACCACACTGGGTGCTGGTGGGGGGACCTGCAGTGCCCAGACGCTGTGCACACACCCCAGATGCCCCCTGCTCTAGAATCTGAGTAGGCTGGTGCCAAAGAATCACCAGAGAAACAGCTATGGCCAGTTCTTCAGATGCCTTTACCGTCTGCCATATTATAGAGAAACATTTCAACTTCTAATTTAAACAGCTTGTAGCAAAAGCAACTTCTCCCACTGATAACTGAGCTCTCTCACCAGCTTGATCTGCTCTGCAATCTTGTCCTAAGGGCTCTCCTATGGCCACAGGGCTTGGTGGTGGGGGGTGGGGTGGGGCGGGTGGTGCTATACTCTGGGCTCTGGGCACCATGGCCACAGCCACACCTGCACGTCTGGATGCACCTGGAGAGGCAGCTTTGTGACTTGCTAGGGGGTGCTGCTTGTCTGCACGGAGGAGATGGAAAGGGGTGCTGCCCACAGGAGCTGAGGGCGGATGAGGTGACAAGGGGCAGAGTGTTTGCAACAACTGGTTACCCTCAAGGGCAGCAAGCAACCCGTCGCTAACACATTCAGTTCTCAATTTCACTAAAACCTTTACCCCGAACGCTGACTTACGGCCCTCACCATTTCACCAGAAGCGCTTAGTAGAGGAAAAACATTGAACAAGTTAGATCTAGTCCTTTACACTCACTGGAAACACAGATTCCTGGAGAAGCACAGACCACCAAGAATATTCTGGTACCACAGCCCATGTGGGTCAGGACTCAGCCTGTGCCCGGGTTTGGAGGGCAGCCCCTCTGGGTACTTGGGATGGTGCCCGGGGAGCTGCCTGCCCCTGGGTGAGGAGGTGGAGCGCGAGCTGCACAGCCTATGGGGGTGGCGCTGAGAGTTGGCCTAGCAGGAGAGGTGGCGGCGCTGCGATTGGCTGCTGGGTCCTTCCCTGGACTGGACTGGGGGCTGTGCTTGTGGCTCTGTCGCCCGCTGCTGGGAGACCTGCAAAGACGCTGCAGCACAGACCCCGGCCGGGGGCAGCCTCCCGGGCAGCTGTGGCAGTGGGGTATGTAAGCTGGCAGCATTCTGCATGGGAGGCCCTGTGGAGGGGTTGTACTGCTGCCGACTCTGCCACTATCGGGTGAGCTGCGCGGCCTGCGGTGTGGGGGGCATTCCTCCTGCAAATGCAAAGAAAGTCAAGCCCAGCTCTTCCAGTATCTCAAAGCAAAATAGAGACGTGACTTTAAGAAGGGAGTCCACTGCTCCCCAAACCAAATAATGTCCCAAGTGTCCCTTGACAGATGACGGGTAAACAGAAAGCGGCCTTAGCGAGGAAGGAAATCCTGCCACGTGCCACCGTGTGTACAAGCCCCGAGTGACACGAGCCAGGCACAGAAGGGCAGATCCTGTCTGTCCCACTAACATGGGGTCCCTGGAGCACTCAGAGCCATGGGACAGCAAGCGGAGCGGGGGTGCGCAGGGGAGGGGAGGGGCATGCGTGTTTCACGAGGGCAGCGTTTCCGTTTGGGAAGTTGGAAATCTTCTGGAGGTGGACGCAGGTGACGGCTGCACAGCAACGTGAATGTGCTTCATGCCACTGAGCTGTGCCCTTAAAATGGTAAAACAAAAGCCAACCAGAAAAACTCCAAGGAGTAACACTTGAATCATTATTATTATTTTAGAAATAAGGGCTCACTCCATCACCCAGGCTGGCATGCAGTGGAGCAATCACAGCATTGTCTCTGCGGCCTTGACCCCTGCGCTCAGGGCGATCCTTGTGCTTCAGCCTCCCGAGTAGCTGGGATTACAGGCACGCACCACCACATCCGGCTAATTTTTGTATGTTTTGTAGAGACGGCATTTCTGCATGTTGGCCAGGCTGGTCTCGAACTCCTGACCTCATGTGATCCACCCACCTTGGCCTCCCAAAGTGCTGGGATTCCAGGCTGAGTGGCTGCACCCTTCAAGCACAGGTTTTAAAAAAATCATTTTTACAGTAGTTGTTCCAGTCCTAAAAATAGCCAATATAAAAGATTTGATTTTACATTTTACAAGCAAAAGAAAAAAAAAAGGAAATCTCTAGAATCTAGGTAATGGCTAAACTATCAATTTGGCCCCATCATTCATTCCTTTCCAGGCCCATGGTCCTGAACGGACCTCCTTCCTCAGCGGCAGGTGAGGGCAGCCAATGCCACGGCCTGTGATTGGAGGATGCCTGCCTCTCTGCTGCCCTGTGATTGGAGGGCCCCGGCCTGTGACTGGAGGGTGCCCGCCCCTACGCTGGCCTGTGACTGGAGGGTGCCCGCCTCTGTGCGGGCCTTTGATTGGAGGGCGCCCGCCTCTATGCTGACCTGTGATTGGAGGGTTCCCGCCTCTGGGCGCGCTTTTCCTCCTCTGGTGCTCGCACACCTCGCCTCACAGCCCCCACCTCGCCTCACCGCCCCCACGCTGGGAGAAGGTGATGGCCATGCTCTCTGCTCTGGGGCTCCGTACTCCTGGATGGTGACTCCCCGGGCCTGCCGAGGCCCGGCCCACCTGCCCTCCCCACAGCTGCAATGCTCCTGGCTCACACCCTGCCCAGCAGCTGCAGCCTGAAGGCCTTGACGACCACCTGCCTCGCGGCGTGCACATGGTGCGGCCTCTGCCACCAACCCTCCTCAAGAGGGCGCGGTCAGAAGCGCCCACTCTGTTGTAGCAGCGGCGCGGCTTCTCCACCTCAGCACCATCTGCAAGGTGACTCTGCCTGAGGACACGGGACCACCTTCCCTGACCACCTTCTGTCCCGAGGGCAGAGCGGAGCGCGGGGCACGCCAGGCCCTGCTTTCCTCAGGGAGGCACAGACACAGGCGACCTGACGGGAGTGGGCGCTCTGAGGACCAGGGAGAGCAAACAGGGCGGCGCAGGGCGGGCACCGGGTCGGCAAAGGGCTCTCCAAGGCGGGCCGTGGAGCCAAGACCTGAATAAAGAGAAGGGAGCAGTCGGGAGCTGGTCCCGGCAAAGGCAGGGGGTGGCGGTCACGCATCTCTGCGTGCTCGCGCCTCGCCACTCGCGAGTTTCTATAAATATCTGCTGAAGGAGCGCATCGATGTGACTCATCATCATGGACCGGTTTCCCGGGTCTCTAGGCACAGACTGATACGCACGTACGTATACATATTCTGATACTGGTATTTTCTGATGTGTTTTCCTTAAAAACTATGGTGTATTCTATTAGCAATGCAAACTTGCAAAAATTAAAGAAAGACAAAAAACAATAGATGCTGGTGAGGACGTGGAGAACAGGGAACATTGTACACTGTTGGTGGGAATGTAAATTAGCATAGCCGCTATGGAAAATAAAATGGAAGTTCTTCCAAAAACTAAAAATACAACTACTGTCCAATCCAGTAGTCCCACTCCTAGGTGTATATCCAAAGGGAAATAAATCATTCTATTGAAGTGATACCTGCGCTCGCATGTTTACTGCAACACAATTCATAACAGCAAAGACACGGAATCAACCTAAGTGCCCATCAACAGACAACTGGATAAGAAGATGTGGTGCATATATACACAATGGAGTACTATCCAGCCATAAAAAAGAATGAAACTTTGTCCTTTGCAGCAACATGGATGGAAACAGAGGCCATCATCCTAAGTGAAACAACTGGGACACAGAAAGACAAACACCGCACATTTTTGCCCGTAAGCGGGAGCTAACTCACACGTCCACACAGATGTAGAGTGTAGAATGAGAGATAATGGAGACTTGGAAGGGTATAGGGTGAGGGGAGGGTAGATGCTGGGAAATTACTTAGTGGGTATGATTACGTTATTCCGATAACGGATGCACTGAAAGCCCAGACTTCGCCACCATGCAGTATGTCCATGCAACAAAACTGCTCCTGTACGCCGTAAGTTTATAGCAAAAAAGTTGGATATGTTAAAAAAAAAATTAAAGCTTGCCATTAAATTTATAGAATGTTAATTTTTTAGTATGGTATTAACTGACATTATGTGCTTACAACATGGTGCTGTGCTAAGCACCTTACAGATATAACAGTGTCAGTCCTCAGAACAGACTTGAGAAGTGTGATTATCACTGTTGCTCCAGTTTTACAGATGAGACAACTGAGATAGGTGAGGTGACGCCACATGGCCACATCCCCAGAGCCAGCGAGGGCAGGGCTGACCACGCTGCAGCCCACACTCGGAGTATCACAGCACGGGCCCCCACAGAGCAAACAACAGTGTGTGTGAAGACAGCCTGAGATCATCATAGAGAAAAAAAGAATGCTCCTTGGAAAAAGGAAAATATGTGAAAATTCTTGATAGTTTGGTTTTTAATCACCTGTAGGAGAAACTATGAGTCTGCACAGACACCGCCAGCCTGTGCCCAGTTCTGGGTCAATAAACAGGTGCAAGGGCCCACTCTGCCCAGGAACAATCAACAGATGACAGAGTGTGTGGTAGCTTCAGAGCCTCATTGGCTCCCGGCTCCCACAGCCCACTCCTGGACTAGTACCTGCCAGGTACTTTGGCACACAGATACTTTGTGCTGTCGGCATTGACTGCTGGAGAGGAACACCTGATGTCACCTCCAGGTGCTGTAAACCCATCCCAGGATGGCCCACTTCTAGGTGAGGCCTCTGACATCAAAGGAGAATCTGTGACATCAAATCCAATCACAGCACAGTGAGCCACATTCCACCTTCGAAGTTCATGCTACATTATCCCTGGTGCAGAACAGGGAAAAAGCACAAAATGTGGAAATAGCACAGAACGCATTGCGGGCAGAACATCCTCTCTCTGATCCTCACCAGGAAGGGAGTCAGTCTCAGGCCTGAGTGGGACCAAGCTCTTGAGGCACCCATCTTGCTTTGCTCTGAGTCCATGCCCACTGCTAAGTGGCTGCTCCCAGGGATCCTGCTATCAA